CCCCCCCCCCACCCCCGCCAGAGCCGGCAGACGGCCTGTGCTGCCCTGCCAGAAAACAATCAAGAAGCTTTCCAGTTCAAAAACTCCCCAAAAGTAAGGCTGGTTTCATGTTGCTTCTCCTTTATTAATTCAGTCTGTTCTAAGTTGTACAGTTATGAAAATAACAAAACCAAAGCTGGAAGCCCAGGGATATTTACACTCTCTCTCATGTAGTGAGGTCAGTCTATGTTGTTGCACAGATCGGTTATGTTTGGTACCACAAGATGTTCGTAATTCGGACAAAATCAGATTAACAATTATATGTACAGTAAAATAAAAGGGGAATTCATTCAAGTATCAAAATACAGAGACAAAGATTAAATAACATTTTTATTACAATTCAGTCCCATTGCCACACCATTAGCAACAACACTTTTGTGAACTGCATCTGACAGTCATTCTGCAGGTCTGGGCATTTCGGAAACAGACCGAGGTCAGACTAGCTTTCTAATGTAACGACTGCAACTATGTTTGCTGCCTGCTCAGCCAGAAGCTTCTCAGGGACTCCCTCTAGAATCCGGTGCTACAGACCAGAGAGGGATGTGGAGCATTTGCAAATGCAGAGCCTGTCAGGGGGTCCTACTGCTCAGAGCAGCCAGCCGGCGGCGAGACCGGCGGCGAGAGGGAAAGAAGCAAGCAGAGAACCTGAGGCCGGTGCCAGGTACTGACTCCGTTTCCAGTCCTGCCTGAAAGGGCTCCTGCACAGCTCAGAAAACGCAGCGAGACTCAGAGAAGTGCAGAAGCAGGGGCTTTTCCGCTTGAAGCCTGTCCTTAAAGTTACACTATCCCTTTCTAGGGAAGGAAGAGTACCTGCCCCACAGGAAAAGTAAGAAGGAAAGAAAGATCCAGTCCCTACCCTTCTTGACTATTCAGAAAGAAACCGATCTCAGAACGAAACCCAGCGCCGGAGCAGACTAGCCAAGGCTTTCCAACATGACAACACCCTGAATAAATAAGGATATAGCAGCTTCAAGGGGAGGAAACACCTACAGAGGATTTAAAAACAAAAAGACAGCTTGAGCAGCTCATCGTAGTGTCTACACAGTTTTCTTTTGGGGCCTCCCGCATGGGAGGCGCACTGGGGGAGGCCAGGCCGTCCGCGGGTGGAGGCGAGGGTGCCGGCACTAGCACGGCCCTCGGGTTTCCTCCGTCAGAGGCTCGAGGCCGGCAGGGGCGGGAGGGACATCGCACAGCGGCCGCCGATGGGAAGCTCACGGGCCTCGGAAGAAGTGGGAAGTGAAGCCAAGCGTCCGGGTGTCGAGGTCCTTGTTTAGTACCGGAAAGTAGGGTGTTACCCGCCTCTGCTCCAGAGAGGAGGGGACTGGCGGGGCCTGCGGTGGCAGGCAGAGAGCAAGTCAGCAGGAGGACGGGGCCAGGCTTTCCGTTTCTGGCCAACCGCAGGGGTTGTTGAGTGTGCCCAAGAGCACTCTCCCTGCACAGAACCACCAGAGAATTTCAATTCACCACCTTCACTGGGAAAGAAGTGCCACCGAACCTGGAATGTTGGTCCCGGGAGCGGCCTGCACCGCGCCAGCAGAGCGTGAGGTCTGCTGAATCACCGGCGGGAGAAAAGCCTCCTCTCCGCTCCCTACTCTGGAAGGTACTGGGCAAGCAGCTGACCTGGCCCTGCCTCAGCCTCACAGGAACCGCTCTGTCCCCCCCACCCCCCTCCCCATTCCCTTCGCCACTTGAGGAGGGAGCACAGAGCAGATTCCAAATTAAAAAGCAAAGCAAGCCAGCAGGAGGGCTTAAGTGGCAGTGCTGCACCAGGACCCCAGCCTGCCCTGAAGGCCACGCTGGGGGAGAATCAAGTTGACTGTCACCCAAGAAGGCTAAATATAGCCTTCTCCACACTTAGAGCCAGGGATGAATCCAGCAGCTGAAATACAACAGTCGAACCAATAATTCAGAGAATCAAAGTGAGTCCTAATCACACAGACCCGATTAGACAAATCACAAATTGGCAGGTAGCAGTCTTAGCTAACCTACCCATTAATGCCCAAAACAAAGCTGCTGCTTCTCTCCAACTGAACTCAGGCAGTCTGAGGTCGCCAGAGAGCGTGTGGGCCGGCGCTCTGACCACCGCCAGGTCAGAGGCTGGGGAGCGGCCCAGAGCTCCGGGCGCTGGCTCAGACTTCGTGGCACCAGGGGCTGCTCGCTCAGCTCCGTCTGGCCCCTGGGCCTTCACATTTGGAACCCCAGAAACGGACTGGAAGTCTTTCCTTTTGCCGGGTACCCCTAAGGCTGTGTTTTCACTGCTGAGGCTGTGTCCGGCTCTAGACGGGACAAGAAGTCGTGCAGTTCATAAGGAATGGCAACCTGCTTGGCTGGGTTTGAAAAGACTCTAACAGACCTACTCAATTTTGCCCACTTGTGCCTGCTTTCAATTCACCCATGGGCCATTGCCTTCTCTTCACCCTACCGGACCACACCAAGGTCCCATCCCGAGGACAGAAGCCTGGACAGACTGGCCTTTTAGCCAATCTCAGGTACCCTGTCCTCTGATCTGATGGCCATTTCTCTAAAGATTGGCAGTTTAACCTAGAGGTTTGAGCCAAGTCTTAAAAATTCATTTTATAGAAAATTTTTTTCTATTAAAAAACATCCTCTGGACAAGTCACTTCTTGACTCTCTGGAGTTCCAGTCTCATCTGCTCGAGGCCTGGAGTGCAGCTCGCTCTGTGAGACCTGGTGGTGGCAGGTCCAGGCCAAGCAGCCCCGAGGAGCTGCTACAGGCAGAGGCTGGGCCTGGGTCCTCAAAGCGCAGGTGACACGGCGGTGGCGGCGGCGGGAGCCTGTGCTCCCCACGTCTGTGTTTCCGCGGCACAGTTGGCTCCTTCGGTGGCTCAGCTTGGCAGAAGCAAACACAACGGGGGGAGGAGAGGATTAACCAAAGGGGCCTGCACAAGGTGGAGGAAACTGAAAGGAAACATGGAAGCAGAGCAGAAGGTCCCTCACAGCCTCCCCTGAGCGCCCTCGTGGCTGTTCCGAGCGCCCGTGGCCCACGGCCGCCTCTGGCTCAGCACGTCTGCTCTGGAAGGCACAAGCACAGGCAGGCCGGCACAGGCACCCACCCCGGTTTATCGACTGGGGCTTCAGCTCTAAAATAATCGCTGTCGCCTCCTGGCTCCTCTACCGGACTATCCTACGTTTGCACTGCTTCCTCCTGGAACTGCTGCCTTCCCGTCTCCTGCCATCTGAGCTGATCTGCCCTCACCGGAAAGGCGGGGCTTCTTCAAAGCCTCGGCTCCAGGATCCCAGCCGCTGCTGCTGAACAGACCGCACGGCCTACCCCCTCGGAGGAGTCAAGAGGCTGCGGGTGGCCGAACGGGGAAGGACCAGGTGACGGCTGACTAGCTCTGACCCCCACACTGTGGAGAAGTGTCAGCCCCTGGATGACAATGGGAGTGGCTCGGTCCAGGCCCCTGTCCTTGAGCGGCTCTGTTCTGTGAGGGAAGAAGGTGCACCGTGTGTGCAGGGCACAGGCCTCCCTCTTGCCGGGTCCTACAGAAAGGCCTTCCTCCTCGGTGAGCTAGACTCCAGGGCGGGCCTTGTGACTCACTGGTGAAGACACGAGGGCCGACCACATATGTGCCGTCCCGTTCCTCGGAGCGGAAGACTCATCGGGACCCAGAGACCTGCCGAGGGAAGCCGGCCCGCGGGTGTTCAGATGCTCAGAGCTCCATGCTGTGGAGTCAGGCCTGTGCCCGAGGACCTTGGCCCTCACAGAACGCAGTCTGACAATAGTCAAGACGCATCGCCGAGCTCAGGCTCTCACTGGAGGGAGACCAGCACCTTACGGCAGAGGAGAGAGGGACAGGGCCGCAGGCCAGCCGTGAGCGGAGTGCGAGGGGATTCTGGCACCAGGTGGTCACAGTGGTTGGTTGTGTCAGGAAAGGTGCAAAAGGACAGTTCGCTCCCGGCCGCGGCTCCCGGCTGTGGTTCAGCACGGAAGACAGGAGAGGAGGGCGGACGGAGCGCCCAGCCTAGTCAGAGGGTGCTGTCTGGACTCTGCTCGAAGACCGCCCGCCCCTCAGGATTCACAGTGCCTGCCCGCTGAGGCTTCCTGGGTGCCACAGGGCCCCCTGAGCCCTCCTGGTGCCCACCTCAAAGGCAACTCACCCCCTCCCCCACCAAGCTGTCCTCGCCCAAGGGGGGACTTCACAGTGTCCGGTGGTGTTGGGTACGAGCTGTGAGTGTGCAGGGTCTAGAGCTGCTGCCCGGGAGGAGAGCAGGGCCCACCGGGGGTGGGCAGCCGGAAGGAGAGCTGAGAAGAGCAGAGGTCGGATGGCAAGGCACAGTGAGACTAGTGGAGACAGGGGGTGGGCGGTTAGAAGATAGTGGTCTCATACTTGGTGCTGAGGCTCCGCTTAGAGTCTGGTTTAGGGTCCACAACCCAGGAGACACTGGCATGGGACTGGGCATCTGGGTCCGTGTCGGGCGGTTCCAGCTGCCAAGGAAGAAAGGCGAGGGGTCAGAGAGGGCGCGCTGTACCTGGCCGGGGGACAACAGGGCCCAGCTGTCCTTCCTACCCGCCCGGGCCGCGCTGGCGTCGTGCCAGCATGAGGGACACGAGGGGCAGCCCCTGTTCTCCTCGAAGAGCAAGCTCCCTGGGGCTAGGGTGGCAGAAGCGGCACCCTCCCTGGAGCATCATGGGAGGGCCACCTCCAGGCCTCTTCAGGGACAACTTCTCCCATGGCTTTCTCAGAGCTGCTCAGGTAAAGGAGCCTTGCCTGACCTGAGCGTGAGGCTCGAAGCCCCAAATCTGTTGAGGGTGACAGGAAGGGGGGCGAGGGGCTGGGAAATTCCAAGCCTCAGGCCCCTCAGGTGGGACCAGAGAGCGCACCCTGGGCAGGACCACAATGGGCGCCCCATTGGAGCGCCCCTCTGGAGAGAGGACACACAGAGAAACAGAGAGCTAAAGCACAGACAGGGATGGCGGGGAGGGAGGGGGAGCTCAGGAAAGAATGTCACGCAGGCAGAGAGGGGGAGGCCACTAGTGTCTCAGAGAGCTCACGGTCACTTCGGGGAGACTGACACACAGACAGCAGGAGCTGTAAAGACCTTGACTCCAGGACTAACAGACGGCAGCGGTAGGTAAGAAGGACGATGGGTGGTGCAGGTGTGACAGTAACAACAGCGACTATCGGGGGGCAGCGGCACCTGGGGCGCAGAGCAAAGCAGACACAGACACAGGGTGACGTTACTGGGGGCTCGCTGCGGGCCACGCTCTCTGCAGCCCCACGCCGGCCACCGGCTGGGCCCTGGTGGTGCCTGGCAAGGGAGGGGACAGAAGCCCGTGGTGGGGGAGGGGGACAGCTGTCCACCTCCCATGAGAGGAAATAACGGTGCTTCCCCAAGGGGCCGGCCGGCCGCAGCACGAGAAGACCCTCCTGGAGCCCCCCCACCCAAGCCCTCGAATCCCGGGGAGGGGGGGTTCTTGGCGGCCGCGGCCCACGTACTGCTGACTTCCTCACGCCAACCCGAGGCTTAGGCACCGGTTTGGAAGACTTTGTTTCAACCGTCTCGGCAGCGGAGGCCCCCATCGGCCTGGACTTTTGGGCCTGCAGGGCCAGCTGGTAGGCCACTTCGAACGCCTGCCCCAGCGTCAGGATGATCTCGTAGGTCAGATTCTGGGAGGAGACGGAGCATGACTTTAGCACACGAGACTGAAGAGCCACCTCATCCGTTTGCTCGAACCTCTGCCCCGGCCTCACAGCCCTGAGCAGGTTAGGGTTCGGCCAATTCAGAACATTGGGCTTGAAAACAAAAATCTGTCCCAAAGTGACCGATAACGCTGGGGAACAATCTGAGCATCACACACGTCTTGTTTCCTCAAGCAGGACTTTGTAAATACTAGGGGACCAAGCCCGCACCCAGCTGGCCCGCCAGTCAGGCCCAGCCGCGCCGTCTCCACCCGGCGTCTCAGCTTTCCCCGGAGACCCCGGGGCCTGCCACCTCACCACCTGGCTGTGCCGCCCCGCACCCTCCTTGCACCCTGTCCTTCCATCCGGGTGTCTCTCTTTCCAGCTCTCTGCCTTCTTTTCCCCTGGCAAATGGGCCGCCGGGGGCGGCCAACTTCAGGTCCTTCTCAAGGTAGGGTCCAGCTGTGACACCTATGTATGCCTTAACCCACTTAACATGAACAAAGCGGTGCCGGTGTTTTTATTAGGTTCCTATCTTTTCTAGTGTGTCACTGATAAAGTTTCTGAGTGTTGTGTCCCCAGTTCGATCCTCCCTGGTGTTTATTGTGTGACTTTATGTAGCATGTTGATTGTTAGAAGCACGTACGTTGTGTTACGGCAGAAATGACTGGATGTGGAAAATGTGAGCTACAGGGGAAGTGCCAGGAACTACGAGTATGGGGTAGATGAGCTCGCGTAACCTTCAAGACAACCCCATGAAGCCGGTCACATTATAGCCCCTTTTGGGATGAGGAGCCGGGGAGAGGGAACTTCTAAGACGGCACAGCCAGCAAGCGGCAGAGCCCCGAGTCTCATGCCGGGCCGGGAGCAAGCACTGAGGTCCCGGGGCTGAGGATGCCTAGCCGTCTGTGTTCCAGAAGCCACAGAGACTTGTGAACCAGCTGCTCTCCCCAAGGACGGCAGGGATCTGGACAGAAGACAGGGGATGAGGAGAGGGCCGGGGGCCTTGTCTCCGGGCAGAGGGAGTCCCTGCTGCACCGCTGTCCCTGGGCACCAGAGCCCAGCCTGGGCATGAATCTGGGAGAAGGAAGCCGACGGCCATGTCAGGAGGGTACTGCTGCCCCCAAGAGGGAGACAGAGGACGTTTCAGGGAGACTGCTGATAGAGGATAGGGTGGTGGGTTGACAAAGAGCCTGGGGGAGACCTTGGCTGACCTAAGAAACACCTGGGGAGAAGTGGGAAAAGCCTGGTCACTGGAACCCTGGATGCGCCTCTCATTCTGTGTGCTTCAGTCTCCTCACTGTATAAGAGGGACTGGACTGGATGGGTCCCGGGGCCTCATTCGGAACCAAAACGTTTGCTAGGTGTCACCCATGCACCAGGACAGCACTGCACTGAGGCCATCTGGATGCAGGCCCCCTCCGGCCGTGCCCAGGGCTGGGACTCCACCCACCACATCCACCGTGCTGAAAACATGGCAATAGTGGTGGCTGGTCTGCAGGTCCTTGGTGATGTAGGCAAAGGTACAGAGGTCCTCTGGGTCCTGGGCCGCACAGGAAATGTTCCGGATCTCATGCTCCGCGATGACGTTCTGCCGGGGGAAAGCAGGGTCTGGAATTCTCGGGCCCCCTGAGGCACACCTCAGCCCCTTTATGTCACCCACCTTTCTCCGTCCCTGCCCGGGGTGTAGCCGAATATGCCACTACTTCTCTCTCCGATTTGTTTGGTGGGGGCGGGGACAGTGTCTAACCTCGCCTGACTTAGGTTTAGAGGTTTCCACCTATGATCACAGTAACCGAGGGAGTAAAATGTTCACATCTGACCACCAGCTCTCCAGCCCGG